GTACGAAACTGTTTGTGCGAAATTCTACGGTCAGATTATTTCGACATTCTCCGAGCTTAATCACCGTTGCGTAGCGTCGAAATTACGTTACGTTGAATAAATTAACCATAAATTTGTGTTTCCGCGGTGACGCAAATTGTAAATTTATTATTACGACGCGAATAAGCCGATATCTCTCTCTCTCTCTCTCTCTCTCTCTCTCTCTGAAACCAATGTAACGGAAATTTATTCCAAACTTTCAATAGCCTTGTGCGTCATAATGATTAATTATTAACGCCCGACCAGAGAAGAAGCAGGAATGCGAGCGCATACAATAAAAAGACAAAATTGGAAAGGTTTCCACGGACATTCAATGGCGAGCTTTCGCCGTACGCGATGGGTAGGAGTTCGGTATTACGTCACTCACGTCACGACGGTCGACGTGAATTTCATGAATGGAACGCAAAATTCACGACGCCTGGGCGTCGTGACGTCAGCGGTAAACATGACGTCGACCGAGGGTCTCCCCGCATCCACGGAGGAAATAGTTCGCTACTACTGCGCGGTGAAAACGCGGCTGCGTACAAACGAAGCGAGTGGTATTGCTACCGCTGTTGCTGCGGACGCAGGTCAGCTTGCCGCGGATTGCTTCTCCCGCATGTAAAAACGCGGCTCTGACCAAACTCGTTCTCTCTCTCTCTCCCTCTCTCCCTCTTGTATTATTTTATTCTATTTATAAGCATAATTGATTAATGCATCGCGTGTATATCAAGGCACACTTAATATCGCGTTTTAAATGAAATCATTTCAGTTCTTACGTGAAATTTTTCAATATTTATTTATTTAAGAGAAATTTTTATTCTTTACTTCGTAATCATTTAACTACTTATGGCACGAATTATAATATATACCTAATTATTAATCATTATGTATTGCTTATTTGGGCGCTTGAGGGATTTTGTACCAAAGCGCAGAATAAATGATGCTTTCTCTCTCTCGCCATGACGACTGTAAGCGGCGCACGCCGGCGCGATATCGCCATAAATGTATTTCGCCTCGCGCCATAAACAATTCTGCTTTCTCTCAGCGATGAAACTGTGCTTTCCTTCGCTGTGACTAATTTCTGCCGCGTGTGTGCGTCGCGTTGCTACGCGATATAAATTCCTCGAAGAGCCCCGTTAATCTTCGTCCGCGGACCAAGATCCACCCGAGCCACCATTCCGTACCGGGATTCTTACGGACTTAAAGTCTCGCGGCGGAATTTCGAAGAATATTTCTCGCGCTAAGAAGTGCATTTGTCGTTATTGCTATGACCGCGGATCTACCTTCAATGCGCCGTGGAATGGGAGCGCATATAAATCGTTTATTCGAGAAACTTCGGCTTTCGTTGCATTATGACTTCCTGCATGTGAACGACTTTTTCGAAATATCATTAGACGTAGACTCAAGTTAGAATTTCGAATAGGCGCGTTCATGAAAAAAAATGTTAGATGAAACGAATGAAATATAAGGAAACTAAAAACGTGCCAATAATATAGTAATAACATTAAATAAGTAAATGGAATAACTATGATTAGAGATTTATAAATTATTAGAATGTTATAGCGCGGTAATGGCTTTAAAAGCTCAATATTGCAAAATGTCGTACATGGTGCGCGGCAGCGTAACTTCCTTATTTTAAATGCCCGCCTTAAAAAAGTAACGGTCGTAGAGGGGCGCTAGTGGTCTCATTTGAGAGAGGGGATCCTAAAGTTTTCTTCATCCCTCGGTCAGTCGCCATCATGCGTTGGAACAGTGAGGAGCGCGCGTTTGCCGTAGAAGCGTACTTTTCTAACGGCAATTCGGTGATTACAACCCAGCGTGTCTTCAGAAATCACTTTAATGTAGCCTCGAGAACTCCATCAGAGGCCTTTGCATTCGCCAAAAGTGACTGTTTGGTGTGCGATTTCATCAGTTGGGATCGTTGGTCCATGATTTTTTGAAGAAAATCAGGTCACAGTAACAGTCAATTCAGGCCGTTATGTGAGCATGCTCGAGGATTTTTTTTCCCACGACTTGATGAAATGGACTTAGGGGACATATGGTTCCAACAAGACGGAGCAACAGCTCACACTTCAAGGGCATCGATGGCCGTTCTGAGGAACCACTTCCCAGGGCGACTCATCTCCCTGAGGGGTGGTTTGGAGTGGCCAGCTCGCTCTCCCGATTTGGCCCTTTGCGATTTTTTTTTGTGGGGTTTTTTGAAATCCCGCGTTTACGCCAACCGTCCAAGGACCTTAGAAGACCTGAAGGCCAACATTCGGGAAGAAACGGCCAACATACCCGTCGCTATGCTCGAAAGAGTAATGACAAACGCCAGAATTTGGTTTGCCCAGTGTATAGACAATGGGGGGCGTCACCTTTCGGATATGATTTTCAAAACCATGTAAGATAAAACTTTAGATGTCTACCTACATTATTAAAAAAAAAAAAGAAAAAATGTGCCTCATAAAATGCATTTTATTGAATTTTGAAAAAAGGAAGTTACGCTGCCGCACCCTGTACAATTCACTTTAATCGCAAGAAAGCGTCTAAACTTCTTTCATTTATAATTACACTCTCGGTGTATCCATGCTTTTACAGATAAACCCGATACCCGAGATTTAAGTATTATTTTCTATACGGATTTACCTTTTAACAATCATATTCAAAGCATTGTTGCATCTGCCTTTGGTTAGCTTGGTTTTATTAAACGAGTTTCTACGCATTTTAAGAATGTTAATATTCTTAAATTATTTATTACTAATTAATTACTATTAACTGCTTATACGATTTGAGCGCTTGAGGGGTTTTGTTCCAGAGCGTAGAATAATACTAATTAATTACTATTTATAATTAATTCCGTTCATAAATAGTGATTATGATTGTGATTATGATGAAGTAAAAAGCAAATATATATAAAATGAATAAAATATCGACACGTAGATGTTTCGGTATTTTCCGCCGATTTCTCACGAGGTCTCACAAAGTTCTCACGCGTTACGTCTAGCGAATAACGCTAAGATTCCAGGATGCACCGAACGTCGCCGTTAATAACACCTAACGTTTTAACATTTCACGCGCGATATTCCGCGATCATGAGCGAATCTTTCGATCGGCGTGAGAATCCGTCTGGCTCTTAATAGGAACGAGCGGAGAACGTGACCAACTTATGGCGACATCTTTAAGTGATATATTTGCGGCCGCCAAGGACTCGTGGATAAAACGGGCCTATCGTGGTTCTTTGTTGTTCTTTCCAGATGACAAACAGTGGCGGACAGAGAACACGGACGTTGCATAAACTTCATCGGAATTGCGTAAAATTCTACCGTGGAATGTACGAGGCGAACAACGCTTCGACCGTCGAACAGGTTGTTGAAAATAATAGAATGCAGTCGTGGGAAAAGTTCTATCACAGACGTTCGTTTCAATCCGGTGGTGAAATTTTTTTTCCGTTTCGACGTAGAAGAATCAAGGCCAACCTAGATATTTAAATCATTCCAATTCGGTCTATACGACCTGATCCGCTCGTAAAGTAACATTCACTGGCGACTTGATAAATATTTTAAAATGCGGCACGACTCTTCGCGGTGTTATTGTTGCGTTATTTTCAGTTGTAATTCAGAAGTGTTTCCTTAACTTCCGAGTTGCCAGAAATATCCTCAAGGGTACCCTTGCACGAAGAATAAGTATCAACGCGTGTTTATCAACTCGTATAGAAAAATTGAGAGATCTATTGAGAAATGATTAAACCTAATTGTCAAAACTATGTATCGTCGAATTAAAATTAAAGAAGCCGTCGAGAGGTAAAATTTTGCCGATATATTAATAATATCGAAGAAGATAATTCGCGTGACTTTTTCGCAATTTCATTCCCTTGTTTGCCCCTTTTCCTTGGTTCATTTTCGTAATATCTTACCGAAGCGAGTAACGACTGATTAATTTTTTTCGGTGGGTCGAAGCTCCGCGTGAGAGGCGCACGGGTCGCTTTTGCCGATAAGCGCATACGCCGCGCAAGGTCGCGAAGGTTGCGTCAAAACGCACGCGGACCATCGTGTCGACGTCGAAGACCGGTCCCCAGGTACGCCTAACCCGCCAGGAATATCCACGTACACGCCCCCGCTGTGCCAGAATCGTAGGGACGCTATACCAACCTCGAGTGCACTGGCCAAAGCACGGACTCATCCGAGAAATATGGCCGTACATTATTATTAGATTATGTTTTCGGCGCTGGAACGTCGAACGAGCGCGGAGCTCGGCCATTCGTACCCGATTTCGGTTCACCGGCGCTTCCTCTTCGTGATCGTCCGGCCAGATGTTGCAGCGCCGAGCCAGGGAGATACGGAGCGGATAAGGATGATCAGCGTCTTTGTATCCGACTCGGCGGAGAAGCGGAGTCAAAATTCCTTGGCTCGCGTTCACATTTAGCGCGAAATGTCTCGTGCCGAGATTTATCCGATTAATAAGATCATCTCTTTCTCTCTCTCTTTTCTTCGCGAGAATTAGTCACAAACGTGGGCGAAAGTTTAAGACCCGAGTAAAATCTCCCCTTTCGTAGAAGTTGTTCAATAAGCAAATAATACTCATATCGATTCGATTTCTTCAACTACCATAGGGAACACGATCAAAGATGTTTACTACTCGGGAAGTCTCACGAGGTCAGCGTATCTTCATCGGAAGCTGAAAATAGGAACTCCATTGCGGATTTAGAGCGCGAACGTCGTCGGCCTCATCGTCGCGTTCGATTGAAGTTCTAACGAGACGCGACGACCTCGCGCGATTCTTCTTGCAACAGGCGTGAGAAAGAAAGAAGACACCCGAGTTCGAAACCCCGGAGAAATCGGCTCGTCGGTTAATCAAGGCGAGCGTGCATGCATCAAACGCGCTCGATAACGAACGCGAGAACCGCGCGGACGAGCGCCTTATCTCCGTCGTATCGCGAAAAAAAAAAAATACGGCATTGTAACCGGCAATTTATATCGAAGCGAGATAATCTGACTCACGTTTCGATGCGCCGGTGCGCGAGCCACCCTCTCCGAGGAACCTCTCAGCAACTCCGCGAGCAACTCGGGGCTCGGCCCCGGAAGTCCCTCGAGTTTCGTCGGGCTGGAGGTCGTCCGATGGTGGCAGGGCGTGGGCGGCTCGGAGCCGCTGTTGTTGCTGCTCGCGTTGTACGAGAGATTCGCGGAGATCTTCCGGCGAGGGCGAAGGCCCTCCTCGAGCGCGATGTCGGTGGTGCGCGGCTTCGCCATCTCGGCCTCCAGCATCTGCCCGTAGGGTCCGCGCAGCGGCCTCTTGCTGTACCTTCAGATTGAAAGCGAGGGGTCTCGTATTAACTCGATAGTAAGCGACAACAAAGTAAATGAGTTGGAATTTGTCGAGCGAGAGATATATTTTCAATTCGATCGAAATTAATCAGTCAATATCGGGTGAGAGAGATCTCTCGCTAACAACTCAACGAGTTCATTAGATCGATAGATGTTTCGAAAATTCGGAGTAGGAGAAATTATTATTAATTTGTTATCTTTGTAGGTAGGTTGCCGGCAGGAAACCAGTTATCTCCTTGGATCAGGCTGCTAATAATAGCACGCGGACCCGACTTTTTCTTCGAGTAATAAAGGAATGTAACGTCTCGCACAGAACGTGGAAGAGTAGGTGAGCGAAAGAAAACGAGTAGAGGCTTCGTAGGCCTAACATGTTACTGTCAGGAAGGATTCGGATGGAGAAGGAGCGAGCTGAGTGAGTCGGGGCTCTTCCGTTCTATTTCTCCGGTTACCTTCGAGGCGTGTGGCCCTCGCAGTCGGACAGGTCGCTGGGCGTCGCAGGTGGCTCGTCTCTTTCCTCGCTGCTCTGAGCCGACAGCTTGTTCCTGTCCGCGTCCAAGGGCTCCGGCCATTGAGTTATGTACACGCCCTTCCTCCTCTTGCTGGTGTCGCCCCGATATCGTCTCGCTTTGCCAGAAGGCGAGGACGCCTCCGAGGGTGTCTCGCTCAGAGCCTCGCTGCCCTCGCTCGCTTGACTCAGCCGCGGCTCCTCGGGAGGTGGCGTGATGATCACCTCGTGCGGTTCTATCCTGGTTTCTACAAAATTATTCCCGTTTTCTCATCCGCCTCTCATCTGTCGTAATGTTTACGAGAAGGAAAGGGATCAGCTGTTCATATAATACTGACGATTATCGGGCCGAGTTCTTAGCTGCGGCTGCTAAAAACTAGAGAAAAAATTGAGTAAATTAACTAAATTTCAGTTGAGTATTGAATATTACGTTTTCTCAAGAGTGTAATCGTCCTTACGGCCAATACGTTCTCACGGATGTGAAGCGCGAGAATCTGCTATCGAAGGGATAATAATATTTTTCCTCGAGTCAAGAGACCGTTAACGGCAATTTAATGGCAAATTCAGCGCAGGAAACGTTTCCGTCGAACGATTCGCGCGATCGATCTTAGAATGGAAAATCGAGTTTATCGTTGACGCGCGATCGAATCAAATAGACGTCCATATACTTGGCGATGTCGGACGGGGGCTGATGCGAGAGAGGGGGTGTGGGAGGACTATTTTCGGTGCATCGACAGGGGCACGGGTACAAAGGTGCACGCAAGTTCCATGTTATTTTGCGCGGCACTATTTTCAGAACGGTGGGTGCCAGGGTGGAAATATATACACATATATATAGACGTTTGAGCGTCATTGAGTTATAGCCATCTTCATTGATGACTTCACGCGCTGCCGCCTCTCTCTCACGCGGCGCTGGAGGGCCGCCGCTATTCACAATAAATGATGAACCGCGCGCGCATTTCTCAAGCGATGACGACAATCACACCCGCGGCACACACACTGTTTTCTTCGTTTCTTCCGACCGCGCGTTGTTTCCAACGCGCCGATGAGCAACGCCGCGCGAAAATTCGAGCAAACAGATCTTGCCCGCTCGCTCGCGCGACTCCCACGCGAGTGTATTTCCGTTTTATATCCTGCCGAGATACTCTCGCACAATCGATCCGCTACTACGGACCGAGCGGAAACTTTGCTCTCTAACTGCCTCGGGATTCCGCACCGCCCGCCGTTGTTTTTTTTTCTCTACGGGATTACGCACCGTACGCGTGTGTATGTGTGTGTGTGTGCACGCGTGTCTCTCAGCGAGATCTGAGGTTCTTTTTATCGGAGCGAGCCCGCGAGGTGAGACAATGGGGATCGATGTCACAGTGGATGAAGTGAAAATGAAATTGAACAGAGGGAAGCTTCAAGTCAAAGAAACATCATATTACATTGGTTTTCCACCGAAAAACTCACACGTAACTCGAAACTGAAGTCAGATTATTTGAAATAACGACTGGGTCTAACCTTTCTGAACGGTCTCCTCGACGGTGTTGCCGTCGACCATCGGGTAGACCGACTCGTGGTTGACGACCTCGACGACCGGCGCATCCGACTGCGAGACGAGGTCGACCCTCGGCTCATTCGTCTCCGGTGCCAGCGGTTCCGGGCTGGTGAGCGCGCTGGAAGTCGCCAGGCTGTCGGAGCCATCGCTTCTTGGTCGGATCTCCTCGAGATTGCCTTGCTGGGGTACACCGAGGCCCTCGGCGGAGCCGACGGCGCTGTCGACGCTGGGCGTCGACGTCCTCGGGCTCTGCCGATTCGGACTGTTCTGCGGTGTTGTGCCGGCCGACGTCGCGTCGCCGCGACGACGGGGCAGCGTGCTCGCACGCACGTCCTTCGACGATTCGGTGCGATTCGACGTAGCGATCGGTTGGCTCTTCTGTCGATTCGCTGGAAGAGGAAAGTGCGAGTTCGCGCTGAAAGTAAAATCTGCGTCTTGCAGAGATTCACCGGCGGTTAGTGAGGCCTGTCCGTGCACTCTTCCGTTCTGAAATTATCCTAAAGTTTCCTTTCAATCGCGACAGTTTCTCGAAGCTACCGTTCACTCAGGAGAATATATTAATATTGATGTTGTAGTAATTAAAGTTGCCCTGTTATAGCGCGCGTGAAATAAATCACGCATCTCTTTCTCGTTAATTCCTGCAAGGCTTGTGAACGCAATATATCGGATCGACTCGAATGTTTCTTCAATAATAATTCTTTGGCCTTCTGTTTTTCTCGACGGTGATTTTCGAACCAAATTTGAGAAAAAATCGTGCGAAAAACTTTCCGACTGACCCATTATCATATTATAACGATCTCCGATGGTTATACCTCTCTTTTCAGCAATGGTAACATACACTGATCTCGACAGAGACCTATTTTTACGAGCTAAGATGTCGGAAGAGCAAATAACGGGACGCAAGACAGACAATCGGACTTTATCTGCCTGGAGCGTGTCAAACATTGTAACCGTTAATTGCGACATCACGGAAAGGCAGATTTCCGTGCAAATTCGAGTGGCTCCCGTAGACATCCCCAACTGACGTATTCCAGAGGCGTGTTACGCGCGTAACCGTTTTTAATAATAACTCAAGTACTCTTGCACCGAGTGTGCAACAGTAAGGCCGTCTCGCGGTCGCGAGGGAAGGCTAGACGTTAGAGGCGGGATGAGAGAGAAGCGGAGGAAGTCCTAATTACCTCCTCGAGTGTCACGTAAGTTTGGCAGCGCTCTTAGGCCGAGGAGGTGGACCATTCCAATAATAACAAACAGACCGTGCGAGACGAGTGGAGATCTCGAAGACGCGAAGTAGCGCGCACCTCGTTGGCGGAGTTCCGGAGAACGCGCTGCGACCGATTAAGATGTACGATACAAAACTCCGTTCCGTATAATTGAACAGTAGAAAGAGAGAGAGAGAGAGAGAGACGATTTCTAAATTTTCATTACGATCGATACGACAAGTTTTACTCATCATAGTATTTCCTTTTTCACACACAAGCATAGATAAAATTTTCATGCATTTGCGGAATGGAAATATAAATTTGTTGAAATTATCACAGATTATATATTTCAATCAGTGCATTAAATCGAATGTTAATTACATATCTTACGAAAAAAAGAAATGGAAAATACCTCTCTCGTATTTCTCTCGAAATTCTCTCTCAGCGGCAATTAAATCGGCATTGTATTGCTCACAACTCGATTAAACGTTAGTCACTCGACAATTTACGCTGATTGTTAGCCGAGGCGACGAATGATAATTCCGAAATAATTTCGACCATCAAGATCTGTGAAAATCCGAACACGACTTGTCGTGAGGTGTGTATTCGATAAAATTTATTTAATCTCCGCACGAGGTAAACACAGCAAGCAGTCAGATAAATAGATTTGGCTTCCAATCCCGAGAAGAAGTGACTTGGGCAAGCGCGGAAATCCTGGCGACGATATTTCAGGAGCACCTGGTTATCCGTGCCCGCGTTTCGGGCGTAAAAGGTGTCTCGAAAGATTTGTTGACGCGGAAGCGTGAAGTGTTTCCGGCTTGCCAACGGGCCGTCGCTTTTTCGCGCCTTCGACGACGTCACAGGAAATTCTACTATATTTCATATCTCTCGTTATAATCATCTCATATCTTCTCGTTATAATAATGTTGCCATCTGTTCAGCAAAAACATCTTCGCGATACGCCTTTTACTACATAATTCGTTGGTATTCTTGACGATAAGATCTAGTGATACATACGTACGCTTTTCAAATAATAAATGATTAATAAGTCTAAATGAATGCAAACTGTTTCATTTTTTTTTTCAATTTTAATTTGTCAAAATAAAAATTCTGATTTAATCCCTAATTATTGAAGAAACATTCGAGTCCCTTTATCATCCTGCGAGATAAATGAATATTTATGGCAAACAACGCGCATACAGGTCAAGGGCACCAGGTGCTTTATATTACTGGGACCGTCATTAGAAATTCGAAGCTCGTTGAAAGATGCATTTAACACCTTTCTTATTTCTAGTCTTCCATTATGCAACCGAAACTACCGCGGTATGTAGTTCAGGGTTGAAACCTAATGCAAGGCTGTCACCGTGGCGTTATTTTAGTTCCGGGTTTGCGGTGTTTTACGAAGAGCCACGTGGATTGTTCAGGAGGGGACATCCCCGAAATTATTATTTACGTTATATAACATTATGCTGAGTCACAACATGATCATATTTCAACATACAAAAATACGACAAAGCTATAATCGTTCTCCTAATCTCCCGAAGTCGGGTTTAAATTTAACGAGACAATGATTCACACGCAGATCGAATTATCCGCGATATCGTAAATTAATTCTGGCAATGCAAAATATAATACATGACAATAATAATGAGTAATCAACATTTTTTTCTTTATGATATATTTATAGAGAGATGAAATATATCATTGACGTGTAAAATAAAATATTCAATTTTATGATTCACGTATGATCATTATAAAGATTACATCCTGGCGTTGAAAATTCGCCCGTATCTAAAAAAGACAGTAACCAACGAGATCAACAAGATTGATCGGTTCAGTCGGTGGGTGTCCTTAAATTCCCTTCCGTTTGGCTCGACGCGATGAAATGTGCGCGCGCAATCTACACATCGGTCTCCTAACGGGCTTAATTAGACTCTTTCTCTCTTCGAGAGATCGACCTAATAAGCTCAGCCGGCCTTCGTGACATCTTACCTTGATTAAAGTCCACCTGGCCGAAGGAGGCGCTCCTGAAGGGCGCGCCGGCCCTGTGAAAGGCGAGCAACCCACGCGGCTCCAGCCTGGTGATGGCGTCCCGGGCCTCCCCCTCGTTGCCGGAAGCGGCGTTCAGATTATCGCACAGATCGTCCACACTAGTAGCACTGTCCACCACGGAATCACTGTACTGTCTCAAGTGCTTCGCCGCCTCCGCACTGGCGTTCGGCTCGCTCCTGAGGTCACTGACGTCACCACTGTTTCTCTCGGGTCTGCCCGATCTCGAGGACTTCCTCGAGTCCTGGCAGGACTTCCTGCTGTACGCGTTGTTGTTCCCTGAGCGATCACTGAGACACTCTTCACTGACACTCTCACTGCGGACAATTGTCTTCGGATGTTCATCCCGCCGTGCCTGCTGCTGTTGCTGGGATTGCTGATTGTTACCGCCGTGTTGGCTCCCTTCGCTGTACGTGTAGCTGCGTTGAGACGGCCGGCCATCGCAACGGCCGCAGCCGGAATTCGAGCCCGTCTGAAAGAATCGTTCAACAGTCGCGATAGATCTCATCGAATCTACCTGGCGAAACCCTGCCCTACCCCCCCCCCCCCCCCCCCCCNCCCCCCCCCCCCCCCCACTTCGTTAGTGGGCGAATTTCGATCGAGCGTTTAATTTCACGCGGGCAGCGAGTCAAGATGTTGATTTTACCGGCGTTTATTTATGTATGCGACACATATGAAAGGTCACCGTGGATTTGCGTCACGATGTCACGAACTCGATGTCACGTTCGTCAGATCTCGTTGCAACGCAGTGACAATATCGTCGTAACAAAGGAGAGTGTCGGCACGAAGGAGACACGCGATACGCGACACATTACGATAGACGAGAACAAACATTGCTCAGTCCCCGCATATGTATGTAAATTGCAGAGGATATGATGCATTCGTTACGAGTGTACCGTGGAATGCACAGTGTTCGGCGAATTCTTCTGACAAAGGCCCGGCCGTAAAATTCAGAGGGACTCTTCTCGGAACGAGCAGCAAGATGGAATGTTTTTAACAATGATACATCGAACTTTTACACGCATCAAAGCAGTATCTGCTTGTAAAATATGTACGTTCCCCGCGTGTATTCTTCCAAGTGGCATTATCGACGTCGTTGATAGGAAGCGACTAAACTAATCCGAGATCTATCTGACTTATTCCTCCCGAAGTGCGAGAATATTTTCTCATTCACTCTCTTTCTCCCGCACAACTTGGCTGCCGAGAATATGAAAAGTAGCCTCTGTAATTGCAAAATACGACGGAGAAAATGCACGTTATATTTCTCGAAAATTCATTCGGAGACACGCACCATTAAGTGGGGATCGTTACGCGAATAAATGATTAATTGACCGCGCAATTTCTCTCTTCGTGCGCTCGTTATTTCCACGATAAAATAACGATATTTCAATATTAGTCGTAATGTGTGGTCGCGCAAAGTATTCGTCTTCTTGGCAGAAGCGGGAGCACAGGGAAGAACGTAAAAAAGGACTCGGTAACGCGAGACACCGCTGGTTCGCGCGAAAACGTCGGCCTCTCGTCACCATGACGTTGGAATTCCTCACCTGCGGATAATTTTGAGACGACGGCTGGTATCCGCTCGGGGGAGGGGAGGAAGCCTGTACCCGCGACGGTCTTCTGGGTGGCGGGACCGGTGCCGGTCCCTTGAGCTTCTCGGTGAGTTCGCGAAGGCGCTCGGCCTTCTCGCTGCGGGGGCCGGAAGAGGACTTCTTGCCACTTCCTCCTCCGCCCCCGCTCCACCGAAACCTGTGCAGTCGGTCCACCGCTATCACTGCTGGTTCCTGCGGCCGGACAAGGGAAAACAAATAAATCTCTCACAACGGCTCGGCTTATGCGAACACCCGTCCTCCCTCTCGCCTTTTCCATTGTTCACAATTTTCTATTTTCATAATAATACAAAACAACGTCGACGAGACTCGACAGCTTTAAGCTTTAGTCAGATTTGTTCGCTGATTCTTTTCGAGTGGTTTTTAATAATCGCAATGTGCAGAATTTGCTACAGGGCGCTTCGCTTCCACCACATTATTTATTTTACAATTATAGGGAAATTTCGTAGACAGTTTTTTCTTGATGGAAATGTTGGTGGAGGTCTTATATATTTTGTAATATTGTGTATTTTCGTTACTAAGTGTCAAATTAAAATGTTATCAAGCTCGCAACTTGAAATCACAAGCTGAAGAATGTAGTTTGGACGTTCATTTGATTCCTTGAAATATAATTCATAAAAAACCATCCTGCTTCTTACAGTTGTAATTTCCAAATTATCGATGCCTCGACGATTTTGCCAAGGAAAATTCGCCTCGAAATCGGCCACGGAATCTGTCGCTGATAAGTAATGCGGATATACAAGTGGGTCACCTGTATATCGAATATACCTTTTTTTCAGATCTATCATTATATAAGAAGAACAATGGATGGAGGAGTCGAACAACAGAGCTTCACGTTGGAAAAAGTGGGTACCGTCGAAAATGTGAAATAAGCGCTGTAGCGTGTTAACGACACGGTTAAAGGGTACTTTTCTTCCAACCACTCGAAGCTGTCACGTAATTTCGTAGCGTGACGGGAAGGTGCCGCGTGTTTCGCGAACGAATGCGCCGCTGACGAAAGCGTGCGTCCAGCTTGTGTAACGCGTCGCGGTAATAACGCGACGCGATCGCGAGGACGAAGCGAGCGGGCTTAGGGCATCATAGGTGTCTAGCCGAAGAAGAAGCGATATTCTATTTTCGTCATCGTCGTCGTCGTCTCCTCTATCTTATCCCCCTCGGAGCGTGCTCTGCGCCGCTAGGGCGCGATCCAAAAATCGAGCGGAGAGAGAGAGAGTGCACAATTTTAAAAAGTATAAATGAAGAAACCGCGCCGAGGGAGCGAGCGAGCGAGAAGATTAAAGCGTAAATTCTGGCACGCTCCTCCGCGAGCTGACGAATTTTGCTGGCGCGAAGGCATCGTGAGACCGCGAGTGCTTCGAGGCGAGGTGGACGCGTTTTAATAGTCTCGTAAAAATAAAGAAAGAAAACACTCGCCGATGGTAAAGAGAGCGGCTTAATTGCCGAAGGTGTAGAGAAAATCGTGTTACTCCAACAGACGTCTGAAATGTCGGAAAGATCTCCGGTACATGACTCGGTATGATGTGTGAAAAATTGATGCGTCAAGTTCCTTCAACCGACATATCACAGTTGTGACTGAAGGAATCTTCAAATTGGAGGGTTCTAAAAATGGATATAATCCTTTAAAAGCGTTTTTACACGTCAGAACGATCGACGGGAAGTTTCTCTCGAGCGAAAACCCTCGGTCATCGGCGGTACTCGTCGAAGCGCGGTCAACTTTCTCACGATGACCTTGAGACCTACCTCGGGGCTGCTGACACAGAGTCTTCCGGACCTAAGCCACTCCACTTTGTATCCCTCGTAACCACCTCTCAGCAGGTCTACGCGCTAAACTCCGTGGCGGGCCGTGGAGGAGAGCGCGCTCGAGTGCCCATCGCGAAGCAACGATCCACTCGCGAAACAACGAGAACCGAGCAAGCTAACGAGCAACACCGAGGAACGACTGTGTACTAAGTACCTGCAACTTAAGCGTCTGATGCTTCGTCCACTGCGCGAGCTGCCGCGGCACGGAGACGGTCTGCGTCGCCGTCGGAACGCCGGACGAGTAGCCGAGCGACGTCGAAGATGAGGACGACGTCGTCGTCGGCGGCGAATACGACGACGTTGCCGCCGCCGCTGTTTGTGGATAATGCTGGTGGTGGTGGTGCTGCTGCTGCTGTTGGTGGTAATGGTGGTGGTGGTGATACTGCTGGCTGGTACTGCCGATGTTCCCCACCGACGTTTGCACCGCGCCGCGACTATTATTAGCGAACGTCGTCTCCGCGACGCCCGTGGAAGAAGCAGGAAGAGGCGGCGAGCAGCAGCCGCCGCCGGCAGCTCCGACGCTGACGGTATCTGCTACGGAGGGATAACCACCGACGGTGATCGGAGGACACGGCGACGACGTAGACGACGACGTAGACGACGCAGACGACGAGGAAGGCGGCGGTGGCGGCGGCGGCGGCGATGCGGACGTCGTAGAGACCGGCGGTGGGATCCGCGGAAGCGGAAGCCGCGACCGCGGACCGATGCAGCAGCAGTCGGCGATACTGGCCGCCAGGTCGATCGGCGGCTTCTCCGCCGCCGGTTTCTCCGTCAGCCGCTCCCGGGAGTCGCTCTCGCGCGAGTTCCGCTTCCGCCGGCGCGACTCCTGCGGCTCCTCCCTGGAGTTCGCCGGCGGCAGGCTCTCCTGCAACCAAACCAACGATCCGCGATTTTTCCTTCTCTCGTCGCCGGCAACATTCATCCTTTCGAACGTTATCTGTCGCGAGAATGAGTGCTTACGTATCAATATCGACTGTTTCATTCATTGGAAATAAACTCATGGCACGCGGGTTTGTAGGAAAATACAATTTGGGACTGGAAAAAATATTATGTCGCGGGACTCGAGTTAAGGTAGTTGATTCGCAGAGTGCTGGATCTTTAGTAGCGATATTAGAGGAGCCTACATAACTTTGTTACTTACTCAAACGACAAATATTTTCCTATAATTTTATTCAACTGAGTAATAAATGTTGAATGTTGACATTTTTTATGTAATGTCTCCATATTGATCCTTAGTATCATACTAGGTTTTTTTTTTTATTAAAATCCTAAATGTGGTTTAGAAGAAATTTAAAATAGAACTTAAAAGTAGAACGTTAATCTCTCAAGGAATACGTAGAAAAAGTGTCGTTTTTAATTACGAATATCTCAGCTTCCGAATGGTCAATCATTCCTTAACTTTACAGACGTATAAAAAGTATTTTCATTACTATGCAGCCAAAATTGAAAAGGATCCCGAAGAAAATGGTTTGACGGATCAACTACTTTAAATGCTCGCCAAGGAGAAGCGGTCGCTATTATTTCGAACAGAATAACGCCACTTCTCGGGGAATTTCTTCGGGACGCCCTTGTGTATATATATATATATATCTCCGTTACTTATTTACTATTTCTTTGCATTTCACAAGCCACGTCTTCATATTCGCTTTATTTCTCCGTCTCCGGTGATGCGTCTTTTTCGTTTCCTTCCATTTCTCCCGCGTGTCTCGGTACCTTAACTTAGGGGCGCCCGAACGTCCTCGAACGTGCTGTCTCGAACGCATCTCGTATTTTTAAACTTGCAACAAAATGACGTATGACGAGAATACCCCATACGAGGGCGCATCGTATTTCGTAAATCTTCCTCGTCGCGCCTAAATCCGGGCCGGTCCTTTTTATACCGCGACGGCCAAGGTAATATTTTCAGAAGACCGGAATCAATAATGGCGTCATCGATCCACGCGGGGACAAATAGCAACGATTTATACGAGTTTCGGTAGCGCTTGGCAATGAGGGAGGACGAGAGAGAGAAAGGCGCGCGGAGAACACTTGTCACACGCGAGATTCACGTCGGTCGGTATGTGACGTCAACGGCGCTTGTTATTTCGCGGGCAAGCCGCGAGAAGAGAGGCGGAAAGTCGGGAACGGGGACGAGAAGAAGCAGGAGTCGGTTCAAAATCGGCTCGAGTCAGTGACTGGCGGATTCTATTTGCGCGATTGGTTCTAAGTTTAGGTCCTTCGACGTCTTGATTTTGTTGTCGCGAATCGCCACTGTCGCGGCGCGATCGAAGGTCGCCGCCGAAGTGGCCGAGGTTCAAAGGAAATGAACGGCTCGGGAGGAATTTAATTGCGGCGCGACATTGAATATTACAGCGAGTCGCGTAATACTCGCCTCCTGAGAGGGAAAGACAGAAGTCAAATATTTTATTTAATTTTCCCCCGGACATAAATCTAAAATTAGAGGCCCGGTACGGCTGTGGGAGATTAAAATAGAACGGAGATGGTGTAGGAAAAGAGTATGTAAGTCGCTCGTAGGACGGTACAATCGACATTATGTGTGTCGTGCCATTCCCTAGGCGGGGAATTACACGGATTTTCACACGGTAGAAACAATTACGTTGTGGTGTAACTGAATTTCCCGTTGCCTGAAAACTCGAACGGGAAGATTCCAGCAGGAGAAGTTTCCATTCAGTCGATCACTCTTAAGAAGCGTCACAAATTTCTGCCCCCCCTTCGAAGCCACACTTTTGCACGAAACGAATTTTTCACCGAGATATAAATTTGTCACGCTTTTTTACCGACTGACACCCTGTACATGATGTACTTTCCCACTTTGTTTTTTGAATGCCGAAACAAATGTGAACCTGTACGATACCTGAGAGATCCGAAGACCGTATCTGGTGCCGCCCAGAACGACGTATCCACCGCCGACACCTCCGCCCGTCATGGCCCTCGCAGCGCCCCCCAGCCATCCTCCGAAACCACCAGCGCCTCCCGTCCTCTGGGGCCCGCTACCCCCGTCTCCTCCGCCGACGCGGGGCATTCTTCATCCTTCCCTCACCCTGAAATTTAAATCGCGCATAAATAAGCCGGAGCGCGAGAATTGTCCTTGGACGCCTCGCGGAGGACTAACGAGCTAGATTCATCCCACGGAGATATTAACGATCCCGCTTGAGTTACGAGGCGAATGCGACGCATCACGCACTTACGCACGCGAAATGCGGGCCGTCGCGTGAATTACTGCGGACGTTCGCGCATTCTCCAATAACTGTCGGCCGCGAACTTATTTATTTACCGTGCGCCGCCGGCCGATGAATGAGACTCGCCGGAATTTTCGCGTGCCGCTACCGTTAAAAGTCGCGCGCGCTACCGGAAGCGGCGAGGCCACCGCCGCACTGCGCCCGCCTGAGATCAATGGCTATGAGAGAATTCTTTCTCTCGCCCGTTACAGAGAACACGACGCTCGCCGAGGGGGGTCTTCCGATCCTCGGGTCTGCGAGTCGTTAAAAAATACCCACACGAGCTATTTCGATCGACGAATTCAATCAATTGTCGTAACGCCGGGATTTATTTTCTTAATGCCGGGGTGCAACGTAGGAGCCTTATATACGCCCTTGTTTTTTTTTCAAAACTACCTTAAAATCTTTGAGACACACATAAGACGAAAATGTCTCTTTCTCATTGTGATGGTTACATTATTTTTCTTTAACATCGATTTTGGCTCTTCCATAAGTCGACGACGATATCGTCACGCGCCGAACTATCCCGCTCGGAAAATCTTAATCCTCGAACCGGATCGACTGACATTACCATGCAATTGTCGCGACACTTTCCGGATCGGTGAGTTTCGCGGGTTGTTCCCGTTGCTCCCATCGCGTGCATGTAAATAAGCGACGTAATTAAAACAGAATTACAATTACGCTGAATAAATCACGGGCGGCCACCTACGTCACGTACGTTACACGTCATCCTCCCACACCGACGACGTGAAATTACTATTCGATCGAATGAATACGCGATGATAGTGGGCACGCAGTTTTCACGGTGGATCGCCTCTTATTATGCCGTCGTTAGGTTGATCTTCCTAATAACAAGATATTTTTGTAACACGTAATATCGAGAGCGTACACATTCCGTGGGGGCGATTCGCTCGAAAACGGAGGGATATAAGCAATAAGTAGATCATATTTTATTCCTGTTTATTATTAAAGCACATTTTTTATTTTTGCGTTACCGTCTATCTCTCGAAACATTACGAATTCATGAAGCGTCAGATGTGCGATTTTGAAGAGTCCAGTGACACTCTAAAATTTCTATCTATATCATCGGAAGTTTATAACACGTCCTTCGACATTCTCCGATCTTCGCACGCATATATTTACTTGTGGTGCGCATGCAGATTATATATATATGGGATCTACACAGTTTAACGCCGATTCCGAACGGCAATTTGAGTGGAATTTTCGCGGCAGAGATGATATACTCTCTCTCTTCTCTCTTTCGATGGATTGCCAGTCCATCGGAGAGGAGCATATAAAAATATTTTGGTTTTACCGAGAGGCGAACCCGGGGACTTCTAGTATAACAGACCAATGCGCTGTCTGCTACGCCACGTTCGTGCTCACACTAAAATTTACATGTCTGAAAATCGATTTTCTCTCTTTTTTTCGAGTCAGCCTGCGGCATTAAGGGGATTAACTGGAGAGCTGTGTTTGAATAAATAACGGCGTTTATCGTGTAAGTGCGACGAAAAATGTAATTGCGAATTCGGTCGCTTGCACTAGCGCGCACTGAGTTCGAGTTTTTTCGGTGCCACGTATCCCAGAGTTCCGCTCTCTGTCCCGGTTCAAGTTTGTACAGTGCTCGACGAATGAAAACTGCTCTGGTGTAGCGTAGATTTCATATTCGGACAAACGAAACGTACCGAACGAGGGCAAACTATATCGCACTGATCTTTTCAACGGTGCGTGTAGTCGCACCAGAAAATCATGAAGCGGCAAATTACAAAATATGATGGTAAATAGAAAAATATAAAAGTGTATTATTGTAAGTGAATTATTAGAAAGTAATAGCAGCAGCAGCGACGATGATTTAGAAAATATATATTTCATTAAAAGAAGAAAAGCCGAAAATTCGAGATTAGGCATATAAATAAAACTGCCATTTTGAAAGTAGATTTCGCGCAACACAAACTGACACATGGAAAAAAACTAACTCGTTTATGCCAATCGAAAATATTCAATTAATTGAGTTTCAGTTACAGTAACATGTAGCCTTTTTCTCTAGCCGAAGGGCTGTTTACATCAACAAATGCTTTCGATTCGGGGAACTGCAATTTCCCGCTCCAAATGCATTAAACTATTCGGTTACCTAAACCGAGAATGCGAAGAGACATGTGCTGCCGTTGGATACAATATGTTAACAGTGTTAGTGGTCCTGCGGTGATGGTCTCGGAACCAAGAAGGTTCAAGTCCAACCAGGAAAAAAATAATATTTTTCTCGAGTAACAATATAATTCGGTTAAGATAACCGAGCACAATTGTCCGAGCAGCGGAAGCATTCTATAGGCACTTTTCTATTTCTACAACCAAGTTTTCATCTGGTCCCCAGGAAACAGAGAATTTCGGTTGTCACAATCGAAATTCAGTTACACAAACTGAATTTTTTTCCATGCAGATTTGTAGTTAACGAAAATGTCACGAAGCATGTACGAATGATAGCGTGAGGCATCAGTTCTGTGAAAATAGAACGTATTGAAAGACTGGAAGTAAAAAAATAGAGTTGTATAATTTCATATCCTTTCTCGGATTAACTTCGCTATTTATAGAGTGCAATTTTCTCGTTCCGAGAGGCTGAAAACGCATTATTCGGAAAAACTCAACCAGCGCAGTATATTGCGAATATCCCCATCGATGTCGATTATCGAGGAGATATTAATATTAACTTATCACATCTTTCCAAAAGGACGAGTGCGTAGTTTTTATGTCGAAAGGAACGTGTGGAAAGGAACATGGAATTTTATGAGCCAAAGAAACGCGTATGTCTTATCATAAATTTCTATTGAAANCCCCCCCCCCCCCAAAGAGGAAAAAGAAGAGAAGATTGACAAAAATATCAAACGAAACGCGTAAATTGTTCATCGGAAAGATATTATCGGAGAGTAATTCGCATTCAGCAGATATTTAACATTTCCCAGCGGAATTAAAATAACAAAAAATCGGGAAGTTAATCGCACGCGTGCGACGTTTTATCCGTGAACGATGAGCGTTCTGATCCTGTTTCTCGAGTGAGTGGGTCACGTGTCAACGTCGCCCATTGAAAGCGCACCTTTTACCTATTCGCGCACGTCGCTACCGTAAGGTGAAATGCGCGAAACAGCCTCATATGTATTCATTGCGTCACCTCATCTGTAATCGATGACAGATCGACGTCGCGAGTCGTTGAACCCGCGCCAAGACGCCGGTTGATCCGTCGCGGCGAAAAGGTGAAATCCGCCGCGGGGAGGGAGGAAGAAGAGGAAAAATTTCGTTCTCCCTCGGGCGATGTGAAAAATGTGTTTGTCGGCGACGGTTACGCCGTTCGGCGCCTGTGCGTTGCGTCGCTTGCATTTTTCTAATGTGACGGAAAACGTATTTTCGTCAGTGAAATCGTCGCCCGCGAATCGACAGGAATGTTGTTTGCCTTGCCGGCGATGCAAAGCTAACGGGCGAAAGATTATTCCCGGCGCCCGTGCTTATCTTTATCATTTCTTATCCAATTAACTCTCTCCTTCTTTGACAAAAATGCAGGGAGCGACGAGTTTGAGCCGATCGAGCTTTGTAAGACGGTGGAAGCTGCGTTTCGCAACGATTTCAAAATCAGCTTTCCTTTAACGAAGATTTCGCCGAAAGCTGCTATTTGCTCCAACTTTCTAATTTCCGATTTTATTGCGTCTTATCAATTTGATAAAGATTGTGGAAGCTTCGCGGAATAAGAACGTACGTGAGAGATAACATCCGAAGGTCATACATTTCTCGATTCACATTCTCTTGCTTTAAAAATCATCCGTTTTTTCTCTCTACTTCGCCTGTTACGACGAATTCAAGGACGATATCGTTATGACTGAATAATTAGAAGGATTTACCGCGGTTAATTCGAAAATCCAATTAACTTATCACGACATATGCAGCGTTGGCTCTCGTCGGCGGACAAGATAGAATGCGATTCGCCTGCTTCTGCGTGAGGCGATAAGGCGCCCAATCGATAAACATGTTACTAAATAATTGAGACTGCATCAAGGCCGAGCTAATAACGTCTCGTAGAATGTTTATTCATATCGCGATATTCTCCAAGCACAATGTACTCACGAATCTATCGTCCCATAATAAATCGTGAGTCAATTTGCAGCACTCGCCACGTCGTATGCAATTAATTTTCGCACGATGTGTGCCTTCAACTTTTCATCTGCGTTCGTATATTTTTCGATTTCGGTTTTGTAAAGGATCTTTTACACGATGAAAAAAAATGTTGCTTTAAGTTAAACACATATGTTCCAAAATGTTAATTTAACACAAGATGAGTATATTTAAAAATAAAAGAAATATGTCGAACATTAGCACAAAATTAATACATTAATCGACACTGAAATAAAATGTATTAATTTAATACTTACTACATATGTTGAATATCGACTCGACACAAAATATTGAGGTAACACAAACACAATATGTTAATTAACACACGGGTATATGAAAAATTCCCCTCGACTCGAACAAGAATTTTAAGAAAGGCCGATTTTGACACAAATACAAAATGTTTTTATACCGTAATACGCTTTGGCAACATTTATATGTGCAAAAAACTATATAATATAAAAGATAAGGAAAGTATAATAAAATTGTAGGATAAGATTATTATAATCATATAAATTATAATAGAATTATAATAGGAAGGATGTTTTATATTTGATTAAATTAAAGAAAATATGCATATTTTGAATTCCCCTCGACTCGAACGGTTAACGTATACTCGAAATGTTACGTGCACAGCGATCTAGTTAGACGAAGTGAGCGAGAAGCGGGCG